GTCTTGATACTCTGTTTTCCATTTCATTCATCCTATTGGTGAGGCTTTCTCCTGTCATTTCTAATTGGCTTACTGAGTGTTTTACTTCCTTCTTCAATTTAGCTTGAGTATTCTTCAATATTTCTCTTTTCTGAATTCATTCAGAAGTTTATCCCTATCTTACTTCTGTTCTTTGATTTCTTTTTGTGTGTGTTTTTAAAGTTCACTGAATTCTTTTATCTTGTTTATAATTGTTCTTTTGAGTTCCATGTCCTGCGTTATCTCTAGGGGGTTCTAATTGTATTCCTCTAGAGGACTATTGGTGTTTGGTTGGGATATATTATTTTGGTTTTTCATGTTAATTTTTCTCTGTGATTTTGACATGTGACTTTCTTTTCTAGTTTCTGATCTTTGTGTGAGACTCAAGCCTTCAAGTTTAGGTCTACTTTTTGTGAACTTTATGTGTCTTTATGGTTTACTTTTTGGGCTTGAAAAGCTGGTTCCTCTAAGCTTCTCTTTTGATTTTGTATTGGAGTGGCCAGGTTGCTTTTGTCTTCAGGAGTTCCCACAGAGTCCCAAGTCAGATGAGGATCAGATGCTCTCAGGCTTTCTCCTAAGGTTTAGATCCCTCTAGGAAAGATTTTGGGCTCAGGAATTTGGGGATTGGACTGGCCTGGGACCTAGGCCCAGGAAAGATGCTGGTTTAGGGCAGCTGGTGGCCATGCCACCCAGAGATGCAAAGGAAGATGGGGGCGAGAAGCAGCCCCAAGGGCTCCTGGGGACTGCACTGAGGAGTTGGGTTGGTCTGGATGCAAAGGATCAGGCAGAGGAAAGATCAGTGCTGCCCCCTCCCCCTCCACTGGAGGGTTGCAGGCCGGTCGTGCAGGCCCAGAGAAGTAGAGCGAGGTGCGGGCGGGGCCAGGCCCAGAGTGCTCCTGGGGACCCGAGAAGGAATTGAGTTGGTCTGGATGTAAAGGATCAGGAAGCAGTGGCGATTTCCCCTGCGTTTGGGGTGCCAAGACAAGGAATGGGACAGAACCCAGGCTAGGAGCAGAGACATTCAGGGGAGATGGGAGGGTGAATTAGGCTGGGGGAGTCAATGCACGGAGGGTGCCATTGACTTACCCTGGAGAGAGGCCTGCGGGTAGTGCAGGCCCAGGGAAGCAGAGGGAGGTGAGGGTGGGGCCAGGCCCAGAAGCAATGCTCCTGGGACCATAGAAGGAACTGAATTGGTCTCAGTGCAAAGGATCAGGGAGCAGTGGTGTTTCCCCAGGTGTCTGGGGCACCAAGACAAGGAATGGGACAGGACCCAGGCTAGGAGTGGAGATCTAAGGGGGAGGTGGGAGGGTGAATGAGGCTGGGGGAGTCAAGGCAGGAGGGCGGCATCGACTCACCCCAGAGAGAGAGGCCTGCAGGTTGGAGACAGGCCTGCGGGTGGTGCAGGCCCAGGGCCAGAATTCATTCTTATACTTGTATACCAAGAAGCATGCTCTGGTCTCACAAACATCCCTCACATATTGGAAAATAAGTTTATTATCTTATATTCTAGTGAGTCTTCAGCTAATCAATCACATCGAGCAGTTCTTGGATACTAATGAAACACCGTATTTTATGAAGAGTATCGAGTGCATCAAAGCCTTTCGGGAGGAGGCCATTCAGGTAACTGTCCTCACCTGTCTTCTCTTTCCCAACAACTAGCAGCCATCACAGGGCAGAGGCAAGTAGTGTCCCACAAATAGGCCTGGGCTTTGGAACACATCATTTTGCTGTGAGAAATAGAACTGACTAAAGTCATGCAACTGTTTACCATTTCTCAGGAGGAATGAAGGTGACTGGAGAAGGATGTTTCACCTTGGGAATTAGATCTTTTTATCACACTAGAGCCCAGGCTTCATGTTCCTGCTTTGTAAACTCTAGTAGCCTTGCTATTATTGTAAAGGATAAGCTAACTTTTTTTAGAGAAATTAATGGAATATTAGTAGTATTATTGAGAAGGGTTTTTACAAAAGCAGGAGTAGGGATATCAATACCAGAAAAAACAAAGAACCCTGAAAAATAATAATGCCCCCAATGTTTTCTTTTTTTTT